AGGGACCCATTTGTGTGAGCGAATGTTGTGCCTTGGCGGAAGTACTATTGCTATTTTTTCTCGGTTTTGGTGCAGGCCACACGGTTAGTTTATGTCAGACATAACACTGCAGTCCGTGTAGCATTTTAGCGAGAAGTTGTTAAAATTTATGCCATCAAGGCAACTTGAAAAGTGGGGAGTTTGTTCAGCTGTCAAAGCGTTTAACATGTAATTTCTCATTTCACATACAACTCAAGGTTATGTGTGAAATGAGATGCGATAGTGGCTGGAACATTTGTACTGTATCAGTATTATCAGATGGGAAAAAACACTCCTTTGTATAATTTGCTTGTGTTACTGCAGATACAAACAACATTTGTCATACACATGCATATCGCTAAAATGTAAACCTCTTTATTTGACATTGTGTTGGTGCAATGCCACCGAAAACCACGAGCTCTATGGGCTCAATATTTCGTATACTCTAGTTCTGGAGCCGGTTATTACTGCTGCATTACCTGACTGTCACAACTGTATCTGGCTGTCGTGACCACATATATGTGGTCATACTAGGTCATAATGACCTAGTTTCAGAGACAGGGTAGGAGGGGCAAGGAGGAGTGGAGAAGAGGAGAAGCTACTGCTCCAGTTTGTTTTGACTCTCACTTTGCTCTTAGAGGGAGAAGGTAGTTAATGTGGCTTTAAGGTGTGACTGACTTTTCTCAAAGGTCACACTGGTTGCAAAGTTAAAATAAACAGCTTTTGCACAAACTATGTTCTCACTGTAAAAGTAGCTGACAGATGTAACAATCTCAACAATATTGTCATCACGCTGTTTATCTGCAGGTCTGTCACTCGCCCATCTCACGAGGCAGAGACTTCCAATCTATCAAATGTGATGATCCACGTTGACTCCTAAACACATACGTCATCTCTGGACCCCTTTTTTTATGCTTCAATTTAATTTTTTCCTTTGGTGCACTTGAAATGTAATCGCCACAGACAGGTGCTTAAATCAGGTAGATCACCTGTTAGCCTATTTATGTGTTGGAAACTTTTTACTTGAATCTATTCTGAGGGATCAAGTTCTTGGTGTCACTGAGCATTCAGGTTTTACTTTCCTCCACCCAAGACATGGAAAATAATCAAATAATTAAATCAGAACATATAAACACTGCTGATGAGCTTACAAAAAGACTATTTTTGTCTGGTACATTTCTGATATCAGTCAGCCT